CCCCCCCCTCCCTTCCCACTGAGCAAACACTGAGAGAAAACTAACGATCAACGATATCTATTTAAAATATTCCACAATTTACAAAGGTTGACTTAAAATTAGCCATGTAAAAGAGCATTAAAAAGAACTGAAATTAATTCATAATTTTGTAGGTCTAGACACTAAAGTATTAAATGACTACCAGTCAAATTTTCTGCCTATCAACTTGTAAAACTGTTGATTTAGTGGTCTAAATAGATCTGTTAACATTTCCATGACTCCCTCGTCTATATCGGGGTGTTTGCGACCCTTGCCCCGTGATAAACACTGCTCCTGTCTTGTTCCATTATAACCATCAATGGACATGCAATAAAATCCTTTCTGATCACTGAACACAAATCTATCTTGAGTTATAAAGTGAGGTAATCCAAGAAATTTTTCCACAGCATGAACTTCCTCAAAGGGATTTTGCACTAAGTTGTCACCATCAACTATATGGATTTGTGAAAGAGGGAAGTACTTTAGCCATCGCAACATGTGTTTGTAATAGAATGAAGGACGAATTCCCGGATAGCCTTCATTTATCCTTCCATTCTTTTGTCGAATAATTAATTCTTCGAACGGTGGTGTCAACTCTTTTGTGACCTTATCCTTCAGCTTTCTCTGGAGGTAGTCTGAGACTGTCCGAGCAATAGGTTCTCGGACAAGTAAAATCATTTTCATAGAGCTGTTCATATTGTATACACGCCATTCAGTGTCTTTGTTGTGAAAATAGTTTGATGTTTTTTCCATGGTTATCTGTCCTTCATAAGAAGGGGGCATCAACTTTTTATAATATTCAAATCCTTGCTGGTAATTTCTTTCATAGTCAAAGAAATTAAGTTCTCCATCTGCTATCACAACATCTGGATGCATTTTTAAGTACTGCACCATTGCACCTGTGCCTGCCTTTTTCACGCCTATTATAAGACACTGTGGCAGTCTTTGACGCAAATTAGTCTTTTTGTGAATCGGAATGTCGTTACGTATGTCATTCGGAAGTCGATTATTACTGCCAGGCCTGACCTTGTTTGCTGGATCTATGTAGTCTGTGACCTTTGGCAGTATGTGTCGTCTAGTACCAGAATTGTCCTTCTGGTTCACATCGTAATGAGGACTACTAAAAGTCAACAAGAACAGGGCTATCCCCAAACATAACAACAGTCCCAGTAGCTTTGCCTTTGAGATGCGTCGACAGCAGAGTCCCTTGGCACTAGGAAGCAGCCCCGCCTCTTCATGATAGATATAGTTGTTTGGTGACATGTTCAAGTAGTCTTATAGGCCATCTGTAAGATCAATTATATAACAACATTAAAACATAGAAATCGAATTACATGGTAGGTCATAACAAATTACATGGTCTAGGTCATACCAAATTACATGGTCTGGGTCATAACAAATTAGATGGTAGGTCATAACAACAGTCCCAGTAGCTTTGCCTTTGAGATGCGTCGACAGCAGAGTCACTTGGCACTAGGAAGCAGCCCCGCCTCTTCACGATAGATATAGTTGTTTGGTGACATGTTCAAGTAGTCTTATAGTCCATCTGTAAGATCAATTATATAACAACATTAAATCATAGAAATCGAATTACATGGTACGTCATAACAAATTACTTGTTAGTTAATAACAAAATAATTGTTTGTTCATAACAAATTACATGGACTAGGTCAACACAAATTACATGGTCTCGGTCATAACAAATTATATGGTAGGTAAGAACAAATTACATGGTAGCTCATAACAAATTACAAGGTAGGTCATAACAACAGTCCCAGTAGCTTTGCCTTTGAGATGCGGCGACAGCAGAGTCCCTGGGCACTAGGAAGCAGCCCCGCCTCTTCACGATAGATATAGTTGTTTGGTGACATGTTAAAGTAGTCTTATAGGCCATCTGTAAGATCAATTATATAACAACATTAAAACATAGAAATCGAATTACATGGTAGGTCAAAACAAATTAATTGGTGGGTAAAAACAAATTACATGGTAAGTCATAACAAATTACGTGGTCTAGGTCATAAGAAATTACATGGTAGGTCCTAACAAATTACATGGAAGGTCATAACAAATTATATGGTAGGTCATAACCAATTACATGGTAGGTCCTAACAAATTACATGGCAGGTCATAACAAATTTCATGGTCTAGGTCATGACAAATTACATGGTCTGGGTCATAACAAATTATATGGTAGGTAAGAACAAATTACATGGTAAATTACATGGTAGGTCATACCAAATTACATGGTCTCGGTCATAACAAATTAGATGGTAGGTCATAACCAATTACATGGTAGGTCCTAACAAATTACATGGCAGGTCATAACAAATTAGATGGTAGGTCATAACAACAGTCCCAGTAGCTTTGCCTTTGAGATGCGGCGACAGCAGAGTCCCTGGGCACTAGGAAGCAGCCCCGCCTCTTCACGATAGATATAGTTGTTTGGTGACATGTTAAAGTAGTCTTATAGGCCATCTGTAAGATCAATTATATAACAACATTAAATCATAGAAATCGAATTACTTGGTAGGTCATAACAATTTACAGGGTAGGTGATAACAAATTACATGTTAGGTCATAACAGATTGCATGGTAGGTCATAACCAATTACATGGTAGGTCCTAACAAATTACATGGAAGGTCATAACAAATTATATGTGCTAGGTAATAGCAAATTACATGGTCTGGGTCATAACAAATTATATGGTAGGTAAGAACAAATTACATGGTCTGGGTCATAACAAATTATATGTGCTAGGTAATAGCAAATTACATGTTAGGTCATAACAAACACCTATCAACAATCTGAGACACCTGTAAATAAAGCAGCAAATTAGGTCATAACAAACATCTATCAACAATCTGAGACACCTGTAAATAAAGCAGCAAATTAGGTCATAACAAATAACATTGTCTAGGTCATAACACATTACATGGCAAATTACATGGTCTGGGTCATAACAAATTATATGGTCTAGGTCATACCAAATTACATGGTAGGCCATAACAACTGACATGGTAGGTCATACCAAATTACATGGTAGGCCATAACAACTGACATGGTAGGTCATACCAAATTACATGGTAGATCATAACAAATTACAAGGTAGGTCATAACAACAGTCCCAGTAGCTTTGCCTTTGAGATGCGTCGACAGCAGAGTCCCTGGGCACTAGGAAGCAGCCCCGCCTCTTCATGATAGATATAGTTGTTTGGTGACATGTTAAAGTAGTCTTATAGGCCATCTGTAAGATCAATTATATAACAACATTAAATCATAGAAATCGAATTACTTGGTAGGTCATAACAATTTACAGGGTAGGTGATAACAAATTACATGGACTAGGTCAACACAAATTACATGGTCTCGGTCATAACAAATTATATGTGCTAGGTAATAGCAAATTACATGGTCTGGGTCATAACAAATTACATGGTAGGTCATAACAAATTACATGGTCCTTACAAATTAGTAGTATGTGCTTAGACAGTAAACAATATGTATGTTTCAGGTACCCTGACCAACTCTTTATACCTCCGACCCGAACAAATCTCACTCAAATGCACTCCATCCTGTTTTGGGGTATACCTGTCCACTAGATGCAAACAAATTGATTGAAAAACAAACAAGGCAACTACATATAAATACCTTCTCTACTTCAAAGGCAGGCACACCTCAAGAACAAATATTTGAAAAAATAAATAAAAAAATAAATCCTGACAACGTTAAACTACCCTCTTTTTTCCAGTGACCTAATCCGTTTACATACATATTATTTGGTCTTATGTAATTCATGATCCAACGCCGTCAAAAGCAAAGCAACATTAAAACAACATAATGGAGAACCATCTCAATTTCTGGCTTTGAAAAATGACAAAAAAAAAAATAAGTTTGTGTAATAATATTTTTTTACACATGTAATCTGCTTATAATTACCATATAGCTGAATCCAGTCAAATTTTATCAACATTTTCCTGTGTTATACATATTTATACAAGATCAACGAAATTGAAAACATGCTACCAAGTATTTCTAAACATTTTCTTCAGGTTGGTAAGTATGGATTATGATTAGTTCTTTTTACAAACCCAATAAAATTTTCTATGTGACGTTTCGATGACTAGTACGATATGTACACTGTCACCTTCATCAGACAAATGACCAATGAAGCGTATGCACACAAAGGTGTAAAATGTGTACCAGTTGTCTATAAAATCAATGTCGAGTCATTTCGGTACATATATAACAACTATTGTACATACGTTTCCAGCGTAGCCGAAATCAACATCGATTTTATGGACAACTTATAACCTCTTACACCTTTGTGTGCATACGCTTCACTGGTCATTTGTCTGATGGAGATGACAGTGTACATATCGTACTAGTCATCCAAACGTCACATAGAAAATTTTATTGGTTGTGTAAAAAGAACTTCTCATAATACTACCAAGTAGTTTAAATATGTATATCACTGGCAAACATTTTCTGCTAACTAAACATCACATGAAAAGCGGAAAAAAACACCTTTTCCTCAAAAACACATATTTATATCAAACCTAGAAAATAAGTGGTGCTCTTATTAGTGACTATTCTTACATAAAGTCGTAAAATCTGAAGTGTTATGTATAGATTCAAAGTGAGGTTATATTTCAATTGTTTTCACATCCTGTCAAGATCAATCGGGAAGTTTTTAGTAAGGGGAACTCTGAAAGGAAATTGTAATTAAGATCAGCGTACAGTCTAACGTATCACATTACACATATGAGCCAGACCTTTCTGAGGTACACAACCATATGGTCCTTTCCTATTAAACTTGGTTGTTATGTCGTTAGGACTAAGGCATTAGTTTCCCACCGCTGCTTATATCAAGTCCAATTCAACCCCATTGCTATACATTCCACATTGAAACACATTCAATGTTTTTCAGAAAATACAGCTGATATTATTACATAATTCAGCACACATTCAGAGGCCAGTTTTAAGAACCTCAGAATATTCTCAGACTCGGGGGGGGGCTGCCTCCTGAACCCTCACCTACATTTTACACATCAGCTCTGCAAATGCGTAATATTTGTGTGAATTTTGCATAAATTAATTTTTATGCAATTTTTGGTAATTGTGGAAAATTGATTGTATAAAAATGCGGAATCACACACTTAGTGTGTGAAATGCAGATATTAGGGAAGCCCTGAAAACCCTTCTAGATCTGTAACTGTCAATGGCGTTGCTGTTGGTGCCCTAGTAAAATACTTCTAACTTGGCTCAAAGGGAGAATATTGTCACATGCACAGCTTATTCAGCACTGCAGAGTGTCAGACTTCTAAACCAGAGGTAACACTGTTTGATCCTTAACAGAAATATTGAAAAATAATTACCTCTGTTACTCTCAAACCCATGTAATGAATCCATATTGACAAAAAATATTCAGCCTTACTTTCACGTAGGTATTAACTGCTGTCACTCCTGGAAACACTTGGGACATAATATATGGTCCTGTTCAGGGCTAGAAAAAAATGGTAGCCCAATTTGATATATTACTTAAATTGTTGAATAACATCTGATTTGTAGAATTTGCACATGGACCAATGACTAGTGGTTTTGAAAATTAGTCTCTAGCGATGACCCAGTAAAATACTGGCAGTTGTCTTTTTAGCTAATTCGGTACAGAGTCGTACTAGTAAACCTGAGGTCCAGGGTTCAAAACTCTTAGGAAACCAAATGTAGCGTAATTGTATGACTGACTTGCCAAACACTATAGAATATCTCATAACATGAATAATGATTAGCAGAAATTATAGGCTTCTACACTACATACTAAAGGTGCTGCACACACCGATATGATGTGTATATATGTATACTATATAATAGTTACTATTATTTAGTTTATATACACATTATGCAAAAGAGTGTCTCACAATATATTGCAATACAGAATGAATATATTGCGATACGTATCCCGATATATTGTCAATGGGAAGGATGTGCGCAATTTTATAATAAGTTGTTGTCAGAATGTTATCAAACTTAATCATATATAATATGGTTACATAGATTTAAGATTTTTGTCAAACCAAGCATCGATTACAAAATTTGAACTATTAAAATCCTACTTTATGCTTATTGGCATATCTGTTAGAATTTGTAGTAATTTGCAAAGTTAAAACACAAAACAGATACATAAAAATATGCTTTAAAAAATATTGCGATACAGCAATATTCCATCTCTGTATTGTGGTACGATACGATATGCCTGTGTATTGCAATATACCTGTTTTCCGATATATTGTGACAGCCCTGATACACATCTAATCTGTGAGTCCAGCACCAGCTGTACATGCATATGTGTGCTGTGTACAAATCAAGGTTTATGTACATGTGTCCGAATATAAGTTGAACTTGGTCGATACATGATCATGATGTGAAAAAAATGACAAAGACAAATAAACCTTGATTGCAAATAATGATTTAAGTTGATGATCAACATGCAGACTAGAACTTGACTAATTAGAACAATGAACATTTACAATTGATCATATTCAAATGGCCTATATCAGGGATGTGTAGCACATCCCTGCATATATGTATACACAGTTCAGCGGTTCACGAGGTACATACAAAGCACTTACGCAGTAATGAGGCTAGTGTGTCTAATAGGTAACATGTCACGGCATTTACATGTGTATATATTCTTCACCATTATTTCAGGATGAACCAAACTGCAGTTTGACTAAGAGATGTAGCGTATATCTATAGGCAGGTACCGGAATATGATACAGTAGCTAGTGTACATCGTTTTGTGCATAAATATCCCACCTGGGGCATGTAGACTGTCTGCAGACAAACAAGGCCCATGAGGCTGAGCAACAGCTGACTAAAACTTGTAGACATACCACACATTCCTCGCTTTGGACTATATAACAATACACAAATACTTATTGATACGTCCAGGACAACACTGTAACGTTAAATGTTGTTTATATCCCTGAAAGATTACCGAATTGGTGTGTAACATCGAAAATCATTACATGTTTTATACACTGTGTACTGGCTCTCCGTGAACCGGATGATCCAACATGTAAACAAAGCCAAATGAGAGAGTATTACAGACATTTGACCAGTCCATCGACCGGTCTAAATAGCAGGCTTACCACAGGTACATAATGTTAATCACGACGTCCGTCTGCCCATTGTTCAGGTAATATCGCTCTAGTTTCCTGCTACAATACACATGATGGGACGACGTCTCACACTCACCAACATGGAGTCACAGGAGCTATCGTTATTTTCGTATGAGGCACCCGAAGGGGTTTATATATATGATGCTGCATCTTTACGTAAAATGAGTGGTAACTATAATCGGAGACGTAGCATATATATATACCAACATTGTTCGTCTTTACAATAATTTATCAATTCTCTACCAATCAATATCAGTCTACAAATTTCAGTTGTTTGATTGAATGCTGCAGGTGCGTGCTGAATTTAATTGGCCAATTAAAATTGTATTGGCAACATTTTTACTGAATAACAATGACACATTTTTATATCGCTAAAACATGCTGGGACAACATTTTAATATTACACATGAGGTTATCAGAAACTTGTTAATTTTATTTCGTATATGATGTCGGAATAAATGCTATATATTTTATACACATCACAGGTACTAGCCTCGTCTGTCAATACACCTATAATATAATTATATTCTAATTCGCTTCCCTCAAACGAACATAAATTATTTATCATATAAAACTCCAACTCTTTACCGGGAGTTCGTCCGCCTAGCAACGAGGACGTACAGATTTATTCAGGTAAAATTACATGGAAATCGGAAAATGGATCCGTAATCCCAGTGCTGTGCGGGAATTGCTGGCCACTTCGTCTTGTCCTTCATGCTCCAAAATAGCTGTACACAAATCAGGTTGTTTCATTCCCCATGTGAAAGGATTGCTGGAAATATAATGTAACAGCCACCCAAAAACTGAACAAGTACTAACAAGAATGGGCGGGTGGGCGGGAAGTCCGGACTGATCAACAGCTAGGCGAACACAGACACCTGTACGTGTCGCTACTGTCCCAAGCATACCTGTCCCACGTGCACTAGTAGCTGCACGTGCGAGACAAGACACGGACATCCCGTCCACTCGTTTACATAACAATGATAAATATATTTATATTCTAATTCGCTTCCCTCAAACGAACATAAATTATTTATCATATAAAACTCCAACTCTTTACCGGGAGTTCGTCCGCCTAGCAACGAGGACGTACA